AGGGTACCCCAAAGCGTAACAGTCGGATGGACAGACGGACGGACGGACATCACGATTACTATATACCCTCCCACTTTTTGAGCGGGGTTATAAAAAATGTATGGTTTAATCTGATATAGACAATGAGGGTAATTACAGCAGTAATATGCTTGATATATTTTATAATATTCATAAATGATGAAATAATATACCTGGAACGAACTGAAAAACATATCAGCATATAAGAAATTGATATTAGGCCAAAATGACAGAATGGTGAGTACAATGTCAGGAACTCCAAGTAAAGGAATAATGATGCAGATATGCTTAGCTGTATTTCTGTTTAAAAAAATGGAAAAGAAAATTAGAAATGTCTAGGCTTGATCATTATTGCAAATGCGAAATCTTGCACAAACTTTATTTCATCCAGGCTATAGCATCAAATTAAAGTCATATTTATGCCTGTATTGACACTAGTTTTGAATAACTTACAACATTGTAGTAATGGTATGTTCTTTTGGACCACTGCAATGCCTTCTGAAACTTTAAATGTAACAGCATGTAACCAGTAATAAAATTCTTTTATAATATCATTCTTGATCATAAAAGAAAATCTCTCTCTCTCTCCCCAAGTTTCCTCGTAGGATCAATTTGCATTATTTGTGTAATATATTTGGCTACATGTTGATCTTAACTGATGATAGATACTTACAACTCTTTTGAGCTGCTTCATCATGTGGTTTTTTTAAGACAAATCTTCCTATCAGGATTAAGTAAACGATGTTTACCTGAAAAAAATTAATTTAAATTTATTTAACATCTTAAGGTCAAGATCTAGTGAATGAAGGATGCCTACAGATTTATCAAATTTGAGAAATAAGTTCCTTTAATGATGCCTAACAACTTACAAGCTTGGCCAAATAAGGTGGTTTGGGGCTAATTTGTAGGTAAACAAGATGAAAAACCATAGTTTAAGGGGGATGTACGGCCACCTTTAGTGCAGTGAGAACAAAATGTAAATATTTCTTCAAATGGCTAAAATACATTATATTTTGATCAAATCTTAAGTCCTTATGATAAAGATACAATAAATATGCATAACTGAATGCATGTTGTGCATAAATTATCTATACTTTTGCAGAAAAATGCTTTTGATATGCTCCTTAGAACTGCGCAGCTACAGATATCAGCAGAGCCTTAAAAAATCCAAATAAATACGCAAACTGTGCATCCATCTTCTCTCTACAACCATTTGTTGAGAAAATGTCTAAATTTTGCACTTTTAAATGATAATTTCAAGTTCAAAACAAGGTATCGTTGTCTCCAAAAAAAGTGTAAAGAACCATGAAAGTAGTTCGTGGATGTTTTCCAGACCTCTTCTTAATATGGAGGGACACAACAATCTTTAAATGTAGAAGAGAATTACAGTTGCAAAATATTTCAAATAGTATGAACAATTTTAAAAGAGGTAATGTGTTACAGTGTGGCTTGAAGTAATTTATTAAGTATTATTATCGCACAGTTATCGTTAATAGTGAACGCATTGATATAAAAAGAAAAAAAATTAAACTCTTTGATTCCAGGTAAGGAAAAATGAGCGCCATCAAAGTTAAGAATTTTAAAAGAGTTTGTAAGTTTGCCACAGATAATTTATAATATTTATCAAATTTCAATTATCACCAATGAAACAAAAAGAAATTAAACACATACAATCGATATGAATGACCTTGTTTTAAATAGGACCTACAAGTACGAGGGGTGATCAAAAATTTCGCGAACTATCTCTATACCTTCAAACCACACTTCATATTAGAAACAAACTTGGTGCACACATAGCCAAACACAAGTTCTATAAATAGGATATGCTGAATAAAGTTTTGCACACAATGTGAAAATGACGTCATTATGCAGGTACTTGTGACGAAAAATGGATGTCTCAGTGGAACTCGTTGAACAAACGACTAAAATATTTACGGTGTATCTTAAAAATGCCTTTGAAGTAGCGTATAAGAATTTGTTTACAGTTTATTAAGACAAATGACTTCCTATAAATTCAATCAATGATTTGATAGATCGTTTTAGTGAAGGAAGGTAGATGGTTAAAAATGATACTTGTTATGTTGCCCGGTGAAAGCAAGTTTGAAAAGGGATGTGTTTTTAATTAAGCAATATGCTATCAAAGACCTCCAATTTACACTTTGAAAAATACTTGAATATTTCAACAATAATATTACTATCAAGTACCTAAGATATCGTTTACTCATTGATCACCCCTCGTATACTCTGTCAAATAAACATTTACAATTTTCATTACAGCGGAGCAACATTTGAAAATGAATGAAATCATTCAGAGTGGGTTAGGAGATTTAATGAATGAAAAAATTTCTATTTGCCCTTTTTGTCAAAATTACTATTTTACGGAGTAAAGAAAAAAAATCAACATAATTAAATACTTTATACCATCTTTAAAATGACGTTTGGTGGTCCTCCCAACTCAGGGAAAAATTATTGGGTCCGTATTTTTAGGTGTGAAAAAAATTCCTAGAAATTTAAACATATTTGTTGACGAAAGAAAAGAAATATCGTGTAATGGGATGTTAAAAAAAATGAGTCGGGCCATTTCTAGGCAGTAGATCGGGAGAGAGGGCAACCAAATATTTTTAAAACAAATGATCTTACATGTAGTACATGCTGTTCCATCATATACTTAGTAATGCAAGTTTTTTGAATCTTTGGCACTATTTTGAAAAACAAACATAGGATTTTCGGGGTGGGGGGTATCCTCTCATTTTTTTGCGATGGTAGACATAGCATATGCAATGGACCTTTCTTTGCAAACATTGTGCTTGCTTCTAAATTTGAAAGAAACAACTCAATATATCTTATGAAGCTTCGTATGTTCAATGAGCGAGAGCTTACAACGCTGTCAACATAATGAGACATGATGCGTTTGTATGTCCAAACATTACTTCATACAATGTGTTGTTCATTGCAAACAATCTAGCTATTTATGTGAGGTGCCTGAAGAAAACCCTATAACTGCCTATTTTTTCTATCTAACTGCTAAACAAAATAGACATATGTACCAACTTTTCGAATGTAAGACATGTAATTACAATTTGTTCTTCATGCATCGCATATTGTTTAACATTTTTAAATTAAATGCTAAGCATCCTCCTTGCAGTGCCCCATTTGAAAATAACTTCTATCGCCACAGAAAAAAGATCCGCCGTAAACACATATGTTTAGGACATTTTTTATCTTTTTTCTTGAGTTTTAAAGAAACCAACAAATTATCAAGACTTGTTCCATGAAAAATTAAATATAATCATGGTAATAAACGCATCTATCCACAGCAGATATATGCACATGCCAACCACGTGCTCAGTGGAATGATATTATCGAGGAAACTCGAGCTGTAAACAGAACAGTTTTTCCCGATTTGCTGGAGTGGAGTTAAAATCGCGTTTTATCATTGATCAGACGATGTAATTCAACAAATAAAGTAGTAAGTAATGTAACCTAATGATTATTACTTAGTAATTTCTTGTGTTGATGTTATTATGGCCGCATTTATTCTAAAATAAATGTGACAGAGGAATGGCGGACGAAATAAACACATGGCCTCAGGAAGACAACCAAATGAAAAATCAAATTTTCAAGAATTATGGATAATGACAAGAAAAAAGCGAAACAAATGATTGTACCCATATTATCAATGAATCAAACTAACACAATTTTCAATGCATTTTCCATCTCGTGAATGCTGTAGCTGCGCAGTTCTAACATGATTAATTTCCCCCTAATTAAAACAAAATAAACTTAATTATTTACTTATTTTGGTCTCTAACAGTAGGTAATTAGTGCATTAGCTCTTTGAATAACGTTGGGCTAGTTTAGTAGAGTATTAAGCGCATTCTTGATATTTCTTATTTTACACCAGACTAGATCCAATATGGCTTGTAATTCCCCTTAAACTGTCATTTTCAATGAAAAATGAAGAAAACCAGTCATGAATATGGGAGGGTTTTTTCCTATTCGACAAAGAAAATGTATCCAGATTTCCTACAGTCTCTCAGAAAAATGTGATTTTATGTTCTTGGCCTCTTCTTTAAAATAATATCAAATTCAATATATGTATCGGGATTACTTTTCATATGATTTCAAATTGAAAGTCATGAAAATACCCTATTTTCTACATAATTCTACTAAAGCAGTAAAGAAAAAAAAGAAAGTTGAAATTGATTATGACGTCCTAATGGATCCAGCACAAATAAATTTAGTCTAAAACCATTTACTAGATCTTGACCTGAATGACATTTTTTCCATAAAAGTCTAAACACTGTTGCATTCCCACTGTAGTTACAGTTAGTGAAAGGATTCATATGATTTCTTTCGTTTGAGGAACGAATTAGACAGAAATCAATTTCTACTTGATGTGATAATGAATTACTTTTTCGGAATTACAAGGTTTTCATTCGAATACCTGGTGAATATCACGTGGTTCCTAAGAACCGGTCTCGTTAGCAAGGCTATATAAGAGGTGAATAGTGGTTTAAATACCAGTTAAGGACGAAACGTAGAGCACGATAAAGTTTAAATTTTATTTTGATTTATTCAATCCAACATAAACTTGTATATACAAATTGATTTTCATATTTTGTATATGTTCTGTACACTGTACAAATAAAGCTACTGCGTGTCGTTGCTATGTCCAAATGGTGTGTTTGTTGTTTATTGTACTTTCATTTGAAAGTAATGAATGGATTTAGAGTAGAATAATACATATTACATTAGACCGAGATAAATGAATACTTAATTTGCATATTTATTCCAAATAAACGTTGATAATAATACTTTTCTTTAAACATTTTTTACTGGGGATAAATGACAATTACTTTATGAGGAAAAATAAATTATATTGATTTACTTTTCATACTTGGCAATAAAAAAATAAATGTGTTAATAATTTTTTAATGATAAATTTAATTTTTGAATTGACAAAGTACATGTATTCTTACCGAATTGATAACAAGCACAGGTCCTAAAAACAAACAAGCCTCCCAAGACTCGTAGTTGTTTATATCGATCGCCATCCAACACCTGTAAAAATTATATGCAAACAAAACATAATTCGGTGGCTTTCATTATTTGCTGCTGAAATGGTGGTAATAAGAGCATAATGCTTAAAATGAAGAAAGGAAGAAGAATAAACGCTCACATCTCATCATCTAAGTAAATCCGTAGACAAACCCATGGTATCACAATAAGCAAAGGTCCACCTGCAAGTAAACGTAAGGTCAATTATTGTAACACAATGTGGTACCGACAGACATTGTCCGTGGAAACAAAAACATTATTTCAATAACTGTTCACTAGATACAATTTGTACAAAGAATATCCTTTTCCAATTATAATTTTCTAGCTAGGATATCCTCAATTTAAAATCATAGTACAAAAGATGTTCAAACACAAACGAAATCAGCGTACATAACCAGGTCATTTGCTCAGATATAAAATAATGAAAATTCTGGTATTTTTTCCTAGAAAAATTTCCCATAAATTTCATTTAGATGTGGTGTACTGTATTGCCTAGCATCGTAAAATTTCAAACGGATCCTTCAATAATTGGAACTTTTAATTTTACAGGTATTCAGAAATTTAAGTTCAAAATTACGGTGCGTATGTCCATAAATCATTAATCAACAATGTCCAAGTAAGAGGTAAGATATTTGTCTATCAGAATATTGAACAGTCAATATTGAAATCATCCTTTCTTACCCCATCCTATCAAAAGGTGTGGAAAAATGTTGCTACTTTTTTGAAAATACCACGGGTTACAACAGATCATCCAGACAAGGACAGACGCGTCCACACTGAGCCACACCGAACTGGCGAGTAGAGTATACACAAATGACGTCATGGTCAGCTTACATCCCAGGGCCCAATTCTGCGAATACATTTATTTACTATACGTAATTATCTTCCTCAGAAAGAGAGAGATATGGTCGTTATTATGGCAAATTTTAAAATTGCATTTGCCATACTTCCTATTAATGTGTTACTGACAGATTGTTTTACTGACAAAGTTATTGTACCGAACTTGCAAAATGATGACGTGATTTCAATCGAGATAGTTGATATTCCTATTGTATAACCTTCTTTTGTCAATAGCTTGCCTTGTTTAAGAAATTGTTTATATGGAGAACATATTATTGTGTAAGAAATCAGCATAGAGACATATTATATAAACCTCATATACTAGAGGTAATGGCATAATTCTTCGTAAGTAAGGGGAGTTGACAATTAATTGAAAAATTCTAGATTCATTCTTCTTTGAACAGGAAGCTCATGGTCCACATCACTCATCTGAGAAATGTAGGCCATCCTGTTCTGACCCATATTTCCTCTCTTATACCTATTGTGGCCCCGCCCTATCTCCGAAAGTTATGATTTGAATAATGTAGAATCTACACTACCCCAGGATGCTTCCACATAAGTTTCAGTTTTACTAGCTCAGTGGTTCTTGAGAAGAAGAATTTAAAAATATTCAAATATATTTAATGCAAAACAATGATTCCCTATTCTGGCCCAACCATATCCCAGGGGTTTATTATTTGAACAATTTAGAATCTATACTGTCCCAGGATGCTTCCACATAAGTTTCAGAAAAGGCCCAGTGGTTCCTGAATGGACAATTTTTAAAGATTTTTTTCAGATATTTATATTTCAATGTAAACCTAGGTGGCCCTAATTATTTTGTTGTCTAGCGGTTCCTGAGAAGAAAGTTTTTAAAGACCCCATCCTAATTTTCTCTTCTTCTCTTTTTTTTTAATTCATCCCCTTGCAAGGGGACTTTTCCCTTTATTTTAACAATATAAACCCCCTTTATCCATGCATGAAACATGCAAAATACAACATAATATATTGAGTAATAGTTGAGTCGGAATGAAATAAGATAAAAATATTTAATCAAAGTACTTCTTAAGTTTTAAATGTAACGGCGAAAAAATATCTGAATTTTTGAAAGCATGCAAGTGCACATTTATTTCAAAGTTTACGTGTTATTCTCAAATGTTATTCTTGAAATATTACATGCATTTATATTTACCTGAGTGAAGAAATACACTTATGGATGGAAATTGGGTGATGAAAATTATCTAAATCTCAGAAAATAATCATTTTTTGTGAAAAATGAATTTTGTCATGGACAAAACCAGCTTTGCCTGTCAGTTTGTTTTGACAAACCTTCCAACATGCATTTTTAGTATGTCCAAATTGTATATACTTTATGTAACATGCGTGTTGCATGTCATAGAAAACCATATAATGTCCTTGGCATTACTAACCGAGTTTTGGATCTGTGTTCCAGTGAATTCCTCGGCCTGATGTTTGATGCTGATAGAAAATACGTGTTCCAGTAGAAGTGAAGCGATCGATCTCAGACAATATGCGATGAACAGATTTAAGTGAAGAGTTATTATCTTTGATCGTGGTCTTTTAGAACTTATACTAAAAAAGGAATTTTGAAGTTGATGTCTTAGTATTAAAATTTATGAGTATATTTTCTTATACAATAAACAGAATTTAAAACATATATACATTTACGTATAGTCGGATGCTTTTGCCTTTAATATTCACCTGTATCTGTGTTTAAGGAGCATAACCACAGCAATAATTAATGATATAATAGACAGCGTATAACCCGCCATAGAAATAGTCTGTATGTGATCTAGGTTTGTCTGAAAAGAAAGTTAAAATCGTAATTAAAATAGGCAATATGATACAACATTATGATAGATGTTATGCGTTAAAAAAATTACGAGTACATGTTTTTATACTATCTCTCTCTCTCTCTCTCTGTCTCTCTCTCTCAAATCAACATCCCTTTTGAAGCAAAATCGAAAGAACGTATTCCTGCCTGCAAAATTCCTATATCTATGATATGTTACTAGTAACCTGATACTTTATTTGTTACTAATGCATCTCTTTAGGTTTGCCCGATCACGACAAGGCGCCCACTGCGGGATTTATCAGTCTAAAGGAATGCTTTCTCCTCCAACCTAGGTTCTTGAGTGCCATCTGTTTTCAAGGGCTGTTTTGGCTCCGCTTACAATTTATATAGTTTTAATTGATTTTTAAGCTAGATAACTATGGGCGGCGGAAAGGGTAAAAAAGGCGTTCCTTCAAAACTAACAACTAATTTTCATAAACAGAATGAAATACAAAACAAGCAACCTTAAAAAAAATCAACAGACTCGTTTGCAAAATCGACAGACTCCGATGCAAAACCAACGATCACCAATGTAAAACCAACGATTATTCACTGAATTGTCGCTAGTTGGCGCGGAAGTTTTTCTACGTCATCATTATTTGTGTACTTTCATAGCAACGTGAATCCCGCGAAATTATATATCAGGGTCCAATTGGCAAACCTCAGAATGTATTATAGAATATATTATCGATATCGAAATCATATAATTTTTAGTATATCCATAGACCTAAAACGTTTTAGGTCTATGGTATATCGGAATACATATAATAGGGGATCATATACTATGTATACATTATTAGGAAAATCAGTAGTATAGGGGGTCTGGGGGCACAGAGTCTGCAGGGGGGGGGGGGAGGAGGGCTGAAATTGAATTTGAGCATGAATTATTTTTATGGCCATTTAGAGAGCCTAAATTACATTGCGAAACCATTTTCTGTGTTAGTCAAAATGCACATGGGACAAGGTCTATTGCGCATACCATGGCAAAGATGCCACTACACCTTGTACAGGAGAACATTGAATTAAGTCTCATCCTTGTAACCCTACAGTGTAAATTTCTTTTACGGTTTCAACTATACTGAAGGGAAAAAGGAAACGCATAGTAAACTTTGAATAAAATCAAAACTATCCTTCGAATATGTTTTCCAGCTTCATTAACAAACATTTGATTCATGTTTAATCAACAGGTTACCAAAATCTTGTGAGACTTTGACTGAAACTTCATGAGTTATTGCATGATATTGATATGTCGATACTTCCCCCCTCCCCTTTATAAAATAAAAAAAATTATCATCATCTCCCTTGCGCATCAGTAACAGCTTTGATTATCCTGTTCATCAGAGCATTTATCTTTCCTGTATCATATAATTCATATATGTACAGGCGCAGATCCTGGCTTTTTTTCGGGGGGGGGGGGGTCCACCCCAATAAAAACAATCTAGCCCATAATTTTCTTGACAAGCAAAAGAAAACCAAATAAAGCAAACAAATAAACAAACAAACAAACATAAACTCCTTTCATAAACATAAAAAATCCATTTTGAGGAGGGATGGGGTGAAGTTAACCTTTAAAGCTTCATACATGTGTAGAAACCTAGTACTTTAGCCACTTAGCATATTCGCTTATTTGATGAGGGGTCAGCGTTCATACGTACTTTATCTAAGTATCTGGGCAGTGTACTGTACAATAAGATAATTTTATATGAACTTATTGAAGAGTGTAAGGAGATTTTTTTTCTTTCAATAATCTCTTCCATATTAAAGTCTCACCGAATCTCTTGTAAAGAGAAATCGGGCATACAGAAGGAAATAAAATTTTGAAAAGGGAATTTTCAGAAAAAAAAATTAATTACTGGGTGAAGCATCGGTTTTTGTGTGGAACCAAAATTCGTAGATTTATTTGGCCACCCTTAACCATGATTTTACATCTTAACAAACAATTATTTCTTCTACATTTTTCAATAGTACTTCTGTATCTACGAGTTACCCATTAAATAACTTCACCACGAAGAAATAAAACGTTGCTCGCCCAAAAACATTTAACCCCAACACCCACCCCACCCCCACTTTCATCCCCGAGTTAAAATGACTTTACAGTATAAGATAAAATAAATAGGATCTCTGATTACCTTTAGTTGGTCCATGTTTTTGTATCGTTACGTTACAAGTCTTTTCTGCTTCTTCGATACCATGCCATTGCTCAAGTAATGATACTTTATATTCCTATGAAATAAATAATTTCTTTATCTATGGTCAGCGTAATATATTTACATGTATAAGATTTGAATTTTCTATTGATTAATTTTGAAGTTTGTTTTTGTTTTTTTGTTTTTGTTTTTGTTTTTGTTTTTTTTTTTTGATAAATTTTTTCTTACATTTTGAACTGAGTACATTTGGAGGAAATAAAATGGGATTGTTGAATACAGAAATTTACACTATAGGTGATATCCATCGGCCCATCAAAATTTTCAATTTCAATTTCATTTTTCCTTTACTTAAAAAAAAAACCCTACATACTAAATATTATATGCATCTTATTATAACTTATTTTATTTTGATATCTGTTATTGTTTTTTTTTAAAGAAAATTGAGGTTATTAATGATAGCACTATTCAAATCCAAAACTATTTATTATCCAAAAAATATTTTTACAATATAATTTCCCTCTTGATGATTTTAAAATTATTATCACACATTAATTATGTTTCGATATCAAATGATTTGAAAATAATGAATTACGAGGGTTGTCCCAGAAAACGCGAACTTTTTAAATATTTCAAATACCATTCTACCAAAACTGATAATTTTTTGCATGCTGTTGGACAATCATCTTTTTGATATTATTTTTTTTTCAATATTTTAGGCCTTTGATGTCATATACATATAAAAACACCATTTCAAGGATATTAAATATCGGTGTTCGGCGCACATTTTTTTTACTTTTACAAATAGCATTATCAATGAAGTTTTCTTTGCTATCAGGCGATACGGCAATATAATGTCAAAAATTTACCTACATAAATACTCAATAATATGATAAGGTGAACTTGTGTTCAAATATTCATTTAGTTGACATCATTTATAATAAATATGCCATGCACTTCTAATTAGACATTGTCAAAATTGTGAGTTAAACGGTAATGTGGAGCACCAAATTATCAAGCAACACTATGTTGAACGGGATATGACTCCTCTTCAAAGGGAAAAGGGGAGTTAACGATGAAAAAACAAGCATAAATATTGGAAACAGGCTTACATATATCTCCAGTTGAAGGGGTTTGAGGTTGACTTTCTAGTTATCCGATAGAACAGAATGGATCACTTAAATAAAGAAATGAAAAGTACACACCATTTTTTATAGAAAAACATACCCTCCACCTCCCCGGGACGTGTATTTTGATAATTTCTTTTGTCTCGTCATAGGCCTACGTGAAGACCGCTGTTAAACAATTCGGTCAGTTAAGTTTATGATCGGGATTGTGAAATTTTCTATTAAAAGAATTAACTCTGCAATCTTTTGGTAACATTAGTATATGAGATGTATAACTTGGTAGCTAAAACAAAATAAAATACAGAGCCGAATGTATGCTTAAATGAATTTTTCCGAGGCGCCGTTTCCAGAACAAATTCACAAACACTCCGAGATATGTTTTGACGTCGTCGCTGTTGCACCGACATTACAACTGATAAGATGGATTCGTTTATCTGAGAGGAAAATTTATTTATAGAGATATTTCATTGAAATTTTTCGGCATAATTCAAAAAATGTTGATTATGATGTATGTCAATTTTTAACTTTATAGTCCGAGTGAAACAAAAGATATTAAAAATGTTCGCATTTTTCTGGGACAACCCTCATAGTTATCTTACCTCTCTTTTCATTATGGAGGACATATTGAACACACTTAAATATCCAATAAATTTCAGTTTAATTGGGCTTGTTCGATAAAGATCGACTCATTTTATAACCATGAATATTACAACATTGGGTGACAACATAGTCAAAATATCATAACGATCAGCTGCAACCGTTGGTGTCAAGTTATTGTTTTGACATGCCACTGTCAAAATCCTGGCCTTTTAAAGTTCAGTCTCCCCCGGTTTTGTGAGCTGGGAACAATAGTGAAACAACTTGTTAAAACCCTTCTCCAAGCCCTGAGGCTTATTCATTTCCAGTGTTACAAGTACATGTAGCTGTTAATACTAAACTATGCTGATGAATTATACAGAAGACGAACAGTATTCAAGCTCTTAAAGTCCACAAAAATATCAAATCGGGAGCAGAGCTTACAAACACAGACCTCCCAAAATCAGATTCCATGGAATAGTAAGCATCCCCTGTCGACCGGTCAAACCCACGTGTGCTTCTTGTAAATGGAAAATTCTGTAGAAATTTAATTACATGATTAATGGCTTAACATTAAACAAAGAAAAATGTTAGTCAACATTTGACTTAATGATAGATATATTTTTCCAGGTTTTTGACCAAACATGTACAATTTTTGAAATGATGACTTCAAGGAATCTTTGTCATGAACTTGGTGGTCAAAAGCTTGTCTTGATTAAATATCTTATTCAAGGAAGCAACGCACAATATCAAGTTCATCAAGTTTATTTAAAAATCACTTTTCCAAAACAAGGTCATTTAATTGAGAAAATAAAAGTGTTCAAGAAAACCTTTCTGAACTCCACTTCTGAGTAAGGGTAAGAAGAAGGGACAGTCTTAAGCCAAATTGCAAAAGACAAATTCTTGTCTGCTGACAGATAAGTTGATTTTAGAAGAGATTTCAGAATCAGCATTCGTAAATCATATGGTAGTTACAATGACATTATAGTCATCTGGTCGTGTTTCGACTTACAATTTTTCATAGGACTTTTTCTGAATCAAATTTTGAGAATTTTTTAGATTTTATTTAATCTAGTTGTTAATAACTTTTTTTCTTTGTCTGCAATTTTTACTCTTTTGTCTCTCTATTAACCTTTGAATTTGATTAGAAAAAACACAAAAAACGCTAAAATCTTATTTTGCTTAGAAAATTTTTTTTCTGGTAATCTAGAAATAGTCTCATGCCATCTGGTGAAGTACAAAGATTAGTTTCATCTGTTTCACTCATGGACAGCACAATGAAACCAATGGCAATAAGAGCAGTATACTTAAATACTCAGCATTGATTCCTCCTGCTCGGACACCTCTGTCATAACAAACATTCAAAAACATATTCATCCTATGTCCTATTTTCCGAAACGATGTGATACAAAAATGTATGATTTTTACCTCTGTAAAATTATGAAACTGCTTTGAGATAAATTCTATATTTTGTATATTGCATTTTCAAAAATCAGTCATTTATTCATATCCTCAACTGTATTCAATGTATATGCATTGCGAAATTAAAATTTTTATTACATGGATTTTAAATTCATGTTTAAATACATGTAAATGTAATTTTGGAATTACATGTACTATAAAATAATTGATATTTAGGTCAATAGAATGATCAAATATCCAAGAAAATTTAACTAGCATAACTTTGCAAACCTTGCCGTATTTCTTAACATCTCGTAGAAAAAGATTACGATAGCCTGAAAACCATTTTTTTAAAAAAACTAGATGACTTCAACTCCTCTATTGTTAACTTTTCCCCAATCCAGGGATGCTGTATTTATTCGGCTATCTGTTCATCCATCTGTCTGATTCTCCATCTGTCCCTCCATCTATCTGGTATTCCACACATTTTTTTTCTAATCGCTTGGAGATTTTTTAAGCTGTATTTGGTACGAGTTAACCGTAATGAGTAATAGACCATGTTTGGATTTGAGAGAAAGCTCTTCGTTGATGTCTTTTCTGTTATACTTCTATTGCTTAACATTTCCATTATATACATTTATTCATATATAATAAAAAATGAGGCCTTTTATAATTGAATTGAAAAAGAATCAGAGACATTTACAATGTGTTTATTATAATTCATTTACAACCGTGAGCTTAAAAGAATAAGAAGTTTTATGCTAAATACATGTAGGCTCCGGAAACGAACCTTGGAAATAGATTTTTGCCATATCTACAAAGTGTGTATTCTTTCCAATAATTTTTAAAATCTCACATGAATGATGAGTTAACGATGATATGTGTTTTATCTACAAAGTGTGTCCATTCCAAATACATGAATGACATTTTAAGTCAATGTCGCGTTTATTTTTATGATTTAAAAAATTGTTATGGAAAATAACGTTGTTCTATATATGTTTACAATAAGTAAATCATATTCATGTTTTTCTCAGTCCGATGATCATAACTTCACAAACCGACAGATATCGTGACGAGATACCATCCCAAGTTGATACGGCGACAACTTTACCAAGAAGACACCCACCGCAGACAATTGTGGCATTAGTTCCAGGTTCCGCTGGACCCTCAAAATACCCACAGTATGAACTATCTACATAAATCTTTATCTTCGATAAGGCAAAATCTGAAAGAATGAGTGATTCTTGATTAGTAATAAGATGATAACAATGTCGAACATACACCTGAATAAAAATTCAAAACTCCTATTAGAAGTTCTTTATTTGGCATTTTAGATTTTTTGGACGAAACGCAATGCATAATTTTGAAACCATGAAAATTTTGATTTGTTAAGTTGTTATTTTACGTCAGTCCCGAGATTTTTTTTTTTTTTTTTTTGCTCATGTATGGAGACGCCACCAATATCCGGTGGAGAGCTGCAAATGTGTCCTATACTCGGCGCCCTGGGCCATTGGGGATCTTTTTCGTACCAGCAACTCTGCGATACGGAACCTCGGTTTATACGGTCTTATCAGAACTACCTGTCTCCAAGTCCCACAGTGCGATTCGAACTCCTTACTCTGCGACTCTAGAGCAGACGCTCCGTAACTGTACAGTGTAATTAAAGAATTTAATATATAATACATGTATACTTTGATATATATATACATACTACATAGCAAGTAGACAAAAGGGTTTTACCATGACTAGTTCCAACATCTCCCCGACTTAGTAAAACGACATGGTCGACATAATGTTCTTGATTTAAATCTATTTTTAGGTGTGGAACCCATTCGAGGTTGGTTTGGGCACAGCGATGGTTACTACCTGCCTCAGGCCATACCCCATCAATAGCTTGATGAGCAGCAGAGTATTCATCAAAGGTACTAGTCAGGGAGGCGTTCTTCCAGAGAGCAATATTGCCAAATCTGGCTAATTAAGAAAAAAAGAGATTTATTTAATTTTTTAAATAGATTTTTGCATAATTTAATCCCTTCCAAACTTCAAGAAGTGCCGAGTTAAGATAAAATTACACATGTGTGTCACTGCATACTAAATAGCCTCAATTATTCTGCAGTCTTTTAGAATATATAAGCTACCCTCTACCGGCTTAACTTTAAAAAACGATTTCATTATATTAAAGAACAATATTCATCTTCAGCCATAGAACACAACCCGATTGATAGAATAAACAAAGTAACATTATGCTGAAGCATCATATTTATATATAATTTTTTTTAATGAAAATGTAGTATCTAAAAAAATATCTTTTAAGATAAAAAAAACAAACAAACAAAATCATAACAAAATTTTAAATCTTGAACAGTTCATCTCAAAATTAATTGACAGTTCTCTCAAAGCCTCTACACGGCTTTCAAAGAATATATTAAAACATAATCATATTTTTTTATTTATCGTGTAAGCACAATATAAAACAGTGGCATAATGTTTCAAACCATCGAACAAAGAAGAGAAATGAAAAAAAATAATTAAACTTATTTGGAAGATATAAATAATGCCTGAAATGTACGTGTATACACATATGTACCTGTTGATGACATGCATGCTGTCTTTCCTGACGAGAGCCGAATCCCCTGAATAACTTCTGGACACTTTCCTTTGATTTGAGAATACTACATGAAATAAGATTTTTTAAAATCTATATGATGCAGTAAGATTAAAGTCCCTGATTGATTTTAATTATTTTGAGTTATAGACTTGTCCCTGCAGGTTTCCAGTTTTGCTTAAAAATCTAAATATGAACATTGAATATAGAAGAATATATCACTGATAATTTTTTCTGCATTTAAAAAAAAATTCAATATCGTATACATCACTTTTGATAAACATAATTTTTTGAAAAGATGCCTATGAATTTGTTCAGTATCGTTAATATTTTAGTAAAAAAAATGCGATATGAATGACCTTATCTTGTGGGCACACTTTATCCATATCCCTTAATACGAGAGGTGTGGTTTGTGTAGTGGGGTAGGGCTCCGCTTTAAACTCGCACTTTAATTTCTCTCTATTGTAAATCACTGATAAACATTTACTGTTCAATTTACAACAGTCTAAACACATTTGGTATCCAACTGGTTCAATTATGTCAAGGATTCCAGTATTATTAAGTATATCCCCGGTATTTTTAGAGAAATTAACACATGTTCTGTGCGAATTATTGTATCCAAGGCAGAAAAATATAAATAGCATTTGAAAACTTATAACCTTATTTTTCATTTTGTTTAATAAAAACAAAATGACATTTGAGAAGATAAAACTATATATATATACATGTATATATCTTAAAATTTCTCGATCAATGAAAATTATACAGCTTCTTGATCAATGAAAATAATAAATTGTTTTCTGAAATTGATTAATTAAGTACTTGGTTGAATGCATTTTATAAAATCTTTAAAGTGGGGTCTTTCATGTTTGACGGAAGGGATAATCAGGATCAGTTTAAATCTACTCACTTTAATTTTTTTTAACCGATAAATTTGATTAATGAGATTTTCAAGCTAAGTGAACAAATTATTCAACGCATTATATGTTAGTCGTAATGTTTATTCTTTGCGACATCTCGGTAGACAAACTAATTAGAAGAAAATTAAATCTTGAAAAAATTCCGTTTATGCAATACGAAAAATATTGATTAGTCACCAAAAACACTTTGTAAGCATAAAAAGTATATTTAAACTACCTTGAAATGTTAGTACAATTTGTTCTAAAATCAGAATTATTACAATGAAAAATGTAACCAAGAAAATTTAAAAATGAAGACTAGATTTTACTGTAGGTTTTTTTTTTAAAGAAAGTATGAAAAATGACGATACGTAAATATTACACAAAATTTACAAGAATGTATACGCAGCTAGTATAAGGTTGCCCGTAAAATATAAAACTGTTCAAACTGTAGTTACTTCTCTGAACTACCTAGATATGACGTCATAATAGAATATGACGTCAAGTCACTGCATACTTGAGCTGACATGACGGGGAAAGTGTCATAATTATTACACGGCATGTAGATTTATTTTGGGGATAAGTGTTTAATCTAAGAATAAGGGTTGTTTTTTAAGCTTGTGTGTGATGTTATACTGCTTAACATTTGATATTTAAATGTCTCTATTCCTTTTGCTTGTCCGATATGCATATATTCAAGCAATAGCAAAAGATTATGTTTGAAACGCTCCCCTTACACTTCCGTAGACAGAGTTAGAATCTATGAATCTTGTTTATATTGGACTGGCACAAGTGAAAGACAAGGATAAATTGAAGATATTCTGCATGAATCTAAAAGAGAAGTATGTCTTCTAACTGAATTTTGCTGGGGGATCTTATGTAGTTTATCCGTTTTTGTATAAATCGTGATAAAGTGTGGAAAATACCCCTCTTTACGTTGGTAATTTTCAATTATCGTAAAATATTTTCCTAGGAAGTAAAAAAATGAAACCTGCCCCCAGCACTTTTTATGTACCAGGGATAACGATTAATTGATCTATGTGTGACGGATCGGGCTCGGGATGCAAGTGCATATTATGTCACCGGACTTTATCGTAATGCACTACGATAGCGACCAAAGGTAGTCCGGGTGATCCTCACTTTATATAAGAGCGTTCTGTTGAAAGCTGGCAGTTGCCAGTCGGAGCTCAAAACAGACGGTCGTCTAAAACGAAATAGCAACGTACGGGATTTAAAAGGATACAGTATACGGTGGCTAGTATACTGGGCTTAAAATATATTATGAAGGAATATAGTGATAATTTACTTCATAATAAATACTTAAATCTGTCTGGGTATAGGACAGAAACTTAAAACGTACCTGTCGTAGACGTGTCCGAGTACAGGACACATCCCTGGTTTGGATACATCAGGGACACATACCTATACGCATTTAATTTAGTTGTTTTTATTATGATAAGGATAGGAAATCCTAATATTATATGTATATACTGACTCGCTTATTTTTCATATGCATTGTCATCTATCATTTCAAATCATTTGTTTAATAAGTGATCTATCTCTAGTCTATAGAATCATTTGTTTAATTCATTTACTTGATTAAGGATCTATACTCAAATTCACGGACCCATAGACGTTACAAAAATTGGCGGCAGCGTTGGTATTTGGGTTAGATCCAATTTGTTGATTACATTTTATGATACTTGATAATTTACTGTTATTTTCACGATGTCAAGTTTACACGACATAACACTTATAGAAAGACAAATAGAAAATCTGAATAGGGAGATTGAGCAGTCTATGCGAATGATAGGTCTACAGGATAATGCTACCAGTGTCCCAAGACGCATACAACAAACAAGGATGAGTACTCCGTTTACAAGACGGACAGATAGAGTACTTGATGATGCAAGTACTGAGGATGTATGCACATGTGATGAGACTGATGATAGGTCTGGAGACCGAGGACAGCATTCGGCACATGGCACAAATACTCATCCGGCGATAGAAACAAATTGGAATAGATCTAGGCCCAGGAATTTTATTAAACCTGCGACGTATGATGGTTCCAGTATGTGGAATGACTACTTGTCTCACTTTGAGTCTGTTAGTCTCTTGAATGAATGGACTGAGACGGAAAAGGGGTTACATTTAGCTGCGTCTCTTAGAGGGCTAGCACAAGGTGTGCTGGGTAATCAGCCCAGGGATGAGAGACAGAACTATGGAAAATTAGTCAAATGCTTACAGGATCGATTCGCCCCACTGAACCAGACTGAGCTGTATCGGACTCAGCTCAGGGAAAGGAGACAAAAACCATCAGATAGCTTACCAGAGATGGGCCAAGATATACGAAGGCTTGTAAACCTAACCTATCCTTCAGCACCGGAAGATGTACGTGAGATCCTGGCAACAGAGCAGTTTTTAGACGGACTGCATAATGCAGAAATGCGTCTTAAGATCAAACAGTCCAGACCTAGCAGTTTTAATGATGCTATACAGAGAGCTGTAGAGCTCGAAGCTTTTTATAAAGCAGAAAGTCGTCGCACCGAGAATGTCAGAAGCATGGATCAAGACAAGCATGAAGGAAGTCAGGGATCGAAGATATATAAATTCATAGAGACCATGGAGAAAAATATGCAGTATCTTCAAAGGGAGATAAAGGACATGAAGCAATGGAAGTTTCAAATGCAAAGAAACGGTTGTGATACAAGGCAGATGAGAGATGACACGAAGAAAACCACAGGTAACGGTACTAGTATTAGAAGATGCTACAAATGCGGTTCTGACAAACACCTGAAAAGAGATTGTCCCACACTTAAAGATACAACCTCTCCCCCAGAAACTAGACAGAACATGAGAGGCATGACTGAGCATAAGTCAGATGACCGGACTCAAGCCAGAACACAAAAGACTGATGAACTCTAGAATTGTTCATTCTATGAAAGAGTCGGGGGCTTATGTGACTGCCAAAGTATGTGGGATGGATACCAATCTATTCGTTGACACAGGTGCAACTGTTTCCTTACTATCGAAAGTATGCTATGAAAACATACAAGGAGACAACCATTCTTTAGAGAAAGTAGACAGGGACTTCCTGTCAGCTGATGGATCCTGTGTAGAGATATATGGTAAAACATCGATAGAACTCGTTTTAAATGGAACGACTCTGAAGCATGAGATGATAGTGGCGGATCTATCTAGATGGAATTCTTGGCCTAGATTTTTTTGTCAAGTATGAAGCTATCATAAATATGCGCACACACAGGGTTGAGATCTCAGGGATAGAACATCCAATTCAGATGGAGGGTACAGCACGAGAGTACAAGATTGCTTTGGTCAATAGAATAGTTGTACCTCCAAGATCTGAAGATATGTGCAGGGCCAGATGGGGGATATCCTGTGAAGATAGCTAGAACCCTGGTAAGACGCCAGGAGGCAGTGCCCCTACGAATTATGAATCTGTCATCCACAGATAAGACTCTACAGCAAGGAACTGTAGTGGGTAAATTGTCTCCAGTTAATGAGATTGTATCATTATCGTCTTCAAGCCATGATAGGAGAAGTAGAAAGGAAATGCCAAAACATTTAAAGGAACTGTTTGATAGAAGCACTACAAATATTGGGAGTAATGAAAAAGACAAGACCAGAAGTTTACTTATCAAGTACTCAGATTTGTTTTCTGTGACTGATGAAGATGTTGGTCGAACCTCTATGGTTAAGCACAAGATAGATACAGGTTCTCATCCAGCTATCAAACAAGCTCCAAGACGTCTACCCTTCCATATGCAGGAAGAAGTTCAAGAGCATGTATCTGATATGCTTAAAAGTGGTATTATTGAGCTTTCCCAGAGTGATTGGTCATCAGCTATAGTCTTGGTGAAGAAGATAGACGGATCCAAAAGGTTCTGTGTCGATTATAGGCGCCTGAACAGTGTAACCATCAAAGACGCCTATCCCATTCCCCGGATCGACGAATCGCTTAATCAGCTGAAGGGAGCGAAGTGGTTCAGTACTCTAGACCTGAATGCTGGATACTGGCAGGTAGAGCTAGATCCAAGCGATAAGCATAAGACGGCGTTTGGAACTCGGCAAGGGTTTTATGAGTTCAATGTGATGCCGTTCGGGCTCTGTAATGCCCCGGCTACATTTGAGCGTCTTATGGAGACTGTTTTGTCGGGTCTACAATGGCAGATTTGCCTCATCTATTTGGATGATATCATTGTATATGGGAACACATTCAACGAAATGGTACATAATCTAGAACAGGTCTTTGAGAAGTTACAGTCAGCTGGTTTGAAGCTAAAGGCAAGGGAATGTACTTTGTTTGCAAAACAAGTGAAATACCTGGGTCATGTCATTTCGGAGAATGGAGTCGAGACAGATCCAGAGAAAGTTGTATCTATGAGGCAATGGCCAGAGCCACTAAGTAAGACGCAAGTTCGTTCCTTCCTCGGCCTCTGTAGCTATTACCGGAAATTCATTGCAAACTTTGCTGATATAGCTCGACCGCTTCATAAACTGACAGAGGCATCAGTTGTCTTCAAATGGTCAGAGGAATGTCAAATAGCATTTGATGTCCTAAAAACCAAGTTGACCACAGCACCTATCCTTACCCATCCAGACTTCAGTTTACCCTTTATCTTGGATACCGATGCAAGTCAAAATGCGATCGGAGCAGCCCTGTCTCAGGACCAGAACGGGCAGGAAAGGGTAGTCGCTTATGCCAGCAAAGTTCTTAGTAAATCAGAGAGAAGGTACTGTGTGACCAAGAAGGAGCTTCTGGCAGTAGTGACTTTTATTAAGCACTTTAGACATTTCTTGTATGGACGTAAATTTGTAGTCAGGACAGATCACAGTTCTCTTCGATGGTTGCTAAGGTTCAAGGATCCAGAAGGCCAGTTAGCTGGATGGCTAGAGGTGATATCGGCATATGATATAGAAATCGAGCATAGAGCTGGTAGACTGCATGGCAATGCAGACGGGCTAAGTAGACTCCCATGCGTCCAATGCGGATATTTTGATGATTGGGAGAAAGACGACTTGCATGGGGAACAATCACATGCAAGGGTATTACAGGATGAGATCAAAGACAATGGGACAGATGAATCAAAAAGTCTAGTAGAGATACAGGATGGAAGTCGGGATATTAGACTTGTTAAGGATTGGATGGAGGAGGGGAAGCGTCCAGACTACAGTGAAATTACTGCTGAGAGTTATATGGTCAAATCATTGTGGGCTCAGTGGAGTAGATTGGCATTGAAGGATAACTTGCTATGTCGTATGTGGGAGCTTGAGGAAAGCAATGACATGACATATCAGATTGTTATGCCACTTTCCCAGAGAAGGTTTATTTTACAACAGATGCATGACTCTAAAACATCTGGTCATCTAGGGGTGACAAAAACCCTGAACAAGATCAGACAAAGTTACTACTGGCCGGGACTACAAAGCGATGTAAGAGGTTATGTTGCTGGATGCGACATATGTGCCCGAAGGAAGGCTCCACTTAAAACAAAGCGCGGACCTATGCAACCTTTGCAAGTGGGTTACCCAATGGAAAGGATAGCCACAGATATCCTCGGGGAATTTCCGATCACAGAAAAGGGGAATCGCTACATACTTGTAGTCTCTGATTATTTCAGTAAATGGACGGAGGCCTTTCCGATGCCCAACATGGAGGCTCAGATAGTTGTGAAACTGATCGTAGAGGAAGTTATCTGTAGGTTTGGAGTTCCTGTATCCATCCACTCCGACCAGGGGCGTCAATATGAGAGTCTTTTGTTTAGCGAGGTATGCAAGCACTTACAGATCCGAAAGACAAGAACCACACCATACCATCCTCAGTCTGACGGTATGGTGGAACGGTTCAATAAGACCTTAGCCACCATGCTGAGTAGTCATGTCAGCGAGAATCATCGGGATTGGGATGAGAGCATACCTTTTGTGATGGTGGCATACTGGGCGGCACAGCATGAATCAACCGGATACACGATAAACATGCTAATGCTCGGTAGAGAAACTGCCAGCCCTCTGGACATCATATATGACATACCTACAACCTGGAAACAAATACCGAGTCATGAATGGGTGTGGATTCTCACTGATCGAATGGAAAGGGCTCACAATTTGGTTAGAAAACAGTTAGAAGGAGCTATCCTTCGACAGAAGCATTATCATGACATGAAGATGTCGTATGAACAATTCAAAGTTGGGGACCAGGTATATGTCTATTTTCCTCAAAGGAAAACTGGGTGCTCACCTAAGCTGACTTCGTATTGGAGAGGACCTTTTAACGTTATGGCAAAAGTCTCTGAGGTCCTGTATAAGGTGAATTGTGGACGCAATGGAAAGGATCAGATAATTCATTGCGACAGGATGAAAAGGTGCAGAGATCAAGTTCTCCGAGGCG